CCGCCTCAGCCTTCTGAGTAGCTGGAATTACAGGCATGCGCTACCACACCCGGCTGATTTTTTGATGTACTGTAGAGATGAGGTCTCGCCAATTTGCCCAGGCGGGTCTCGAACCCGCGGGCTCAGGCAATTCACTCACCTCAGCCTCCCAAAGGCGCGGGATTACAGGCTGAACCACCGAACCCGGCTCAGCTGGTTCTTTACAAAGTTTGCTAAACCCTGAGTTCAGGAGCTCAGGTGATAGACAGTATTGTCACATTGTTTAAGTGCTTTGCTTTATAAGCATAGGAGAGCATTGTTAATGTTACTACTTAGAATCCAAAGTATTAAAAAATATATTCTGGGTTTTTAATGATCATTTAAACATAGACTGGAATGAAATTATAATATAACTATAGCACTGTTCATATGTAGTATTTTAATGGACATTTCTATGAAAAGTTTTCTATGCTGGGTACAGTGACTCAAGCCTGTAATTCCAGCACTTTGGGAGGCCGAGGTGAGAGGATTACCTGAGCCCATGGGTTCAAGACCAGCCTCAGCAACTTGGCAAGACCTCATCTCCACAATAAAAAAAAAAAATTAGCCAAGCATGGTAGCACACACCTGTAGCTCCAGCTCCTTGGAAGGCTGAGGTGGAAGGATCACCTGAGCCCAGCAGGTCGAGGCTGCTGTGGCCATGAGTGTGCCACTGCACTCCAGCCTGGGCAACAGAGTGAGACTCAGACTCAAAAAAAAAAAGAAAGTTTTCTAACCAAATTAATAAAGAAGGCAGAATTTTAGATAGATTCACGCACTTAATGGAACTGTATAGCCCAGAGTTAAAAGACTCTCTCCTGATGGGAAGAGATAGTCTTCTGGTCATCAGAGTGCTAAGCTACTTCGCTTTGAACTCCCTGGCCTGAGGGTGAATGAACAGCTTTGCTGTTTCTGTTCCATAGCAGACCTAAGACAAGACAGAATTATTCAAATATGCCTGTGTAGAGACTTAGGTCCAAGAGAAGAGCATTCAGTAGAGAGAACAGGACATGACGGATGACGGTCTGACTCAGAATGTGGCTCCCACATCTGTGGCCTGTCCTCTGCTACAGGAACCACTCTTCCTAGGCCCTAGTCTGCTGTACTTGGCGGGTGGCTCTGTGATAACCACACCCAGTAGCACAGTCTTCGATGACTGGATTCCTCAGAGACCTCCTCCCCGCGGCCCACCACCTTTGCTCAGATCTAAAGTTGACTTCCTAATGCAAAAAATGACCTTCAGGCTGGGCGCAGTGGCTCAGCCTGTCATCCCAGCACTTTGGGAGGCCAAGGCAAGAGGATTGCCTGAGTCCGCAGGTTCAAGACCAGCCTGGGCCACTTGGTGAAACTTTTCCTCTACAATAAAATTTCAAAAAAATACTAACCGGGTGTGGTGGCGTGTGTCTGTAGTCCCAGCTACTTGGAAGGCTGAGACGGAAGGATCGCCTAAGCCCAGCAGGTGGAGGTTGGAGTGACCGTGAGCATGCCACTGCACTCCAACCACAAGAGTGAGACTCCAACTCAAAAAAAAAAAAAAAATGGCCTTCAAGAGCACCCTGCCTCCTGCTCTTATTGCTTCAGCAAAGAGCCTGTCTATCAGAAGAGACTCAAAATAACTCAAGTTTTTTTTTAACGCAGGATATATAGACAGCATTGCACTTCAGATAGTGTTTTAGCATAATGGGCTTTCATCTTCCAAACTAGGACTAATAACTTAATTAAAAACACTTCTTAACCATTAGTCTAGTGTGTCATGATCCATGAAATTATTTAAATGAAATTTCTTTTTTTTTTCCAAGTCAGGATCTCACTCTGTCACCCAGGCTGGGATGCAGTGCCACAATCACGGCTCACCGCAACCTCAAACTCCTGAGCTCAAATAATCCTTCACCTCAGCCTCCCAAAGTGCTGGGATTACAAGTGTAAGCCACCACGCCTGACCAAAATTTCTTTTCAAAGGATTTTATTCATCAATTTTTTACTTTCCCAAACTAAGCAGTCACCTAATTAGTGAAATGTATAACCTACCTGCAGAAATGCAATGTCTGTTTTTGCCATTTTGCTATGCTCATATCATGAAACCAAATATTTTTTAATTGTTTAGGGCTCTGAGATTACTTCAGATTATTATTCAAATGAATGTAATGAGTTTCCTTCCCTCCCCTCCCCCATTGTAGCAGCAACCAAACCATTTCCTAAAGGATTTGCAAAAAGAGACCTTCCCTAGCACCTGCATAGGGATTACCAGGTATCTCATTAGTTAGTCTCTTCTGATGAACTCAAGACATTTTCTGTTTGCTGAATGCAAAGCACTGGCACATTCTTATATGGATTATATAAAAAGAGATTTCAGGTCAGGTTCAGGGTGGCTAAGCCTGTAATCCCAGCACTTTAGGAGGCCAAGGCGAATGGATTGCCTGAGCCCGCGGGTTCGAGACCAGCCTGGGTAATTTAGTGAGACCTCCTCTCTACAGTAAATTAAAAAATTAGCTAGGCATGGTAGCACGCGTCTGTAGTTCTGGCTGCTTAGAAGGTTGAGGTGTAAGGATCGCCAGAGCCCAGCAGGTTGATGGTAGGGTGGCCTTGAGTGTGCCACTGCACTCCAGCCTGGGCAACAGAGTGAGACTCCAACTCAAATAATAATCATAATTCTGGGCTGGGCGTTTGTGTCTCATGCCTGTCATCCCAAGTACTTTGGGAGGCCGATGCAGGAGAGTTGCTTGAGTCCAGGAATTCAATACCAGCCTGGGCAACGTAGCAAGACATCATCTCTACAAAAAAAAAATCAAAAAATTATCTGGGCATGGTGGCACGTTTCTGTAGTCCCAACTACTCAGGAGGCTGAAAAGGGAGGATTGCTTAAGCCCAGGAAGTCGAGGCTGTGGTGAGCTGTGATCATGTCACTGCACTCCAGTCTGGGCAACAAAGTGAGACTGACTCAAAAATACATAAATAAATAAAAAATTAAATTTAAAAAAGATTTTATTTCAAAATATGCTTGATATTTTGCTTTCAAGCATAATTGATTTACTTTCTTTCTTTGGAAGTTTTTCTCTCACCCTTTAAATAAACAATTTACCTGGTGTGGCACTAACATAACAATATCGTATAATATAAATAATAAGTAGTTTTAGATTCTTTTCTAAAATAACATTAATAAAACAAATTGCAACTTTTTATTTGTTAGAATTTTCTGTTACTGAATATTATGTTTCATGCTGTGTCAGATATGTGACTATTCAGAATAGGGCAAGGTATTTGCACATTACTGTTCTGTTTAAGCTATAAATTTATGTAATATGGAATAAGCAATGTAGAACTTGAATCATTTCTGAAATAACAGTAAGAAAGTTTTGCATTTGTGTTTATACCTTATCTATAATGGAGATATAATATTAAATATGAATAGTCTAAAAAGTAAATTTGCTTACATGACTATATTGAAAAATAAGAGTTTGCACATTACATCTTCGACTGGGTCTCAGTCTCTCTCAAGTAAAGATATGTGCTGAATTAGAATCTTTTATAGAAAACTTGGAAAAATAAAACTCATTTATTAAGAAATGAAGAGTATAATGTTTAGAATTTATATTTGTTTGTTAGTATATAATTGATTTTAATGCAAATTATTTTAGGTAACTCTTTTTTTTTTTTTTCTTGGAGAAAACAAGATTTATTGAGAGGACAGAAAACCTCCCACAGTGGGAGGGGACTACAGAGGGCTGCCCTATTTTAGGTAGCTCTTAAAGATGAAAATATGTTTTGAGATTTATTCATAAGCATTGCTGGTATTCTGTTATTTTATTATTCTCACTCCTGTTATAAATGAGAACTAAGGACTGAAACTCATCCACTTTTCTTTTTGTTAACAATGCTGCTGAAAGTTTTGACATCACATTAGAAGAGCATTTTCTCAGAATTTGAACAATGAATGGCCTCAAAATTTTGCCTGCTCTCCTCTTTCCTTTATATACTTAAATGTTTTTGACAGCACCAAAGAGCTTTTTTTGGGCAAGGGGAGAAGTTATTTATCTATCTATCTAATTTTGTATTAGAAATTAAAATAGGCTAGGCACGGTGGCTCAAGCCTATAATCCCAGCACTTTGGGAGGCTGAGGTGAGGGGATGGCCTGAGCCCTCGAGAACAGCCTGGGCAACTTGACGAGACCTCACCTCTACATTAAATTAAAAAAAAAAATTAGCAGGGTGTGGTAGCAGGCACCTATAGTTCTGGCTATTTGGAAGACTGAGGCAGAAGGATCATCAGGGCCCAGCGAGTTGACGCTGGGGTGGCCATGAGTGTGCCACTGCACTCCAGCCTGGGCGACGGAGTGAGACTCCGACTCAAAAAAAAAAAAGAAATGAAAATAGAAAGATTTAAGATTTAACACATCAACATATTCAAGTATAGTCTCCACTGACTTCAGAGCAGTGACATTAGGACATGTCTTGCAGCCTCTGGAAAATTCCACCATACACTCATGAGGAGGTGAGCATTTGAGCATAAGAAAGCAAACAACCTCTTCTTTTATTATAAAAGAAAGGGGTTTTTTTGTTTGTTTTGTTTTTCTTTTTACCTCTCAAACCCTCTTAAAAGGTGTTGGGTACCTCCAAGGAATCTTCAGACCATACTTGAATAACTGCTGTCATAGACCATTAGAAGATGATAATATCTTCAATTGTAATGTATTTGCATATACTCCGCTTTGCAAGTCTCTTCCTAATAACGTAGTATACAAAATCTGAACCAATTGGAAAGGATATTTATGTGTGCATCTCAACAGAGTCATTCTCTTCTTTGTCCCCAGTTATGGAAATTCTTGAAGCCCAATACTCCACTGGAATCTAGGATTTCTAAGCAATGGTGTGAAATTGGTTTCCAAGGTGATGATCCTAAAACAGATTTTCGAGGAATGGGACTTCTGGGACTGTACAATTTACAGTAAGTAAAGTGAACAGTTGAGTGTTAAAGGGGTGTTCTATTCTCCTCATAGTGAAACGGCAGCGTTGTGTTATTAGTTTCAAATGTCACTTCCCAGGAGACTCCAAGAAAACATTCAAGTCCCCTGAGAGGTAATTCAGGTTCATGAAATTTTAAAAGCTTCTACCACCTTCCTTCGATTTTGACAGCTATCATGGATTTTTTAAGCAAATCTAAGATGTCTTTTTAAGCATTTTTGAATATAAAAATTTCAAACATATACAATAGTACAGAAGAAATTGTTTACAAAAAAAAAATCCTTGTATTGATCACCCAGATTCAGGAATTGCCAAGGTTTTGAAATACCTGCAAGACTATTTGACACTATTTTTTTGGTGGAAGGGTATTGATGAAAATTTTGCCCCTTATATTTCAATATGTAGTTCTAAAAAATATCAGGATTACTTTACATTAACCACAATGCCATTATCACACTGAACAAAGTTAACAAGAATTCTTTGGTATCATCTATATCCAGTTCATATTTAAATTTCCCAGTTCTCTCAAAAAGGTCTTTTTATAGCTTGTTCTAATGCAGTACTATATACCACCTACTCGTTGCATTTCTTACAGCTCCCAGCCCCAAATTCAGATGGATCAAAGAAATCACACAACCTGGTGGCTCTGTTGAAAAGGCCTTTATCAGGCCAGGCATGGTGATTCACCCCTGTAATCTTAGCACTTTGGGAGGCTGAGGTGGGAGGATTGCTTGATCCCAGGAGTTTGAGACAAGCCTGGGCAATATAGCAAGACTTCGTCTCTACAAAAAAAAACAACAACAACAAAGAAACAACTAGCCTCCTGGTGGCACACACCTATAGATAGTCCCACTACTTGAGAGATTGAGGCAGAAAGATGGCCTGAGTCAGGAGGTTGAGACTACAGAAAGCTGTGATTGTGCCACTGCCCTCCAGCCTGGGTGCCAGAGTCAGACCCTAACTCAGAAAAAAAAATTACCCATCAGCCTTTCCTCCTTCGATGATCTTTACTGAACCAATTAATTAATTGTACAAAAAGTACTTTTCTAATTCTGTTATTTTTCCCACAAATATTGACTGGAATTTTGTAAAGATTTAGTTTCCTTTATTTATTATAGTTATTCAGTTTCTCTCAAATACAAGCAAGGATAGATGCTAAATGTTTCTATTTGGTTGCCAGTTCTCAGAATAAGGAGTCGGTACCCTTGTTCCCTTGTTAGTGATCATATATATTATTTAAATAGCATTTGTTAACTCCTGAATTACATGTTTATTGTGATTCAACTAATTATACTCATTTTTTATGGTTACGTTCAGTCATTTGTAGTCATTATTTTTTGAGCCAAAGGAAGTCCTTAAAGTCATTTTTTGTTTCCTTTTATTCCACCCTATTAGTTAGGGTTGTGATGTATTTCTAAAAGAAATTAAGTCTTACAAAAATAACTTAATCTTAGTCATTTTTAGTGGTATCTCATTTCCCCCTAGATCTTTCCCTTAATTTTAAATTTAAGAAGCTTAACAATCACATTCTTTTATGAATTTTCTTTTTGAGTCGGGGTCTCACTCCATTACTCTGGCTGAAGTGCAGTGGCACCATCACGGCTCACTGCAGCCTCAACCTCCTGAGTAGCTGGGACGACAGGTGTGCACCACCAGACCCAGCTAATTTTTAAAATTTTTTTGTAGAGACAAGGTCTCACTATGTTGCCCAGGCTGGTCTCGAACTCTTGGGTTCAATAAATTCTCCCTCCTTGGCCTCCCAAAGTATTGAAATTACAGGTGTGAGTCAACACACCTGGCCTTTGATGAAGCGTTTTACATGCTACATTATCGTGTAATGTGAAGGAATAGAAAGTAATCTTAATGGCAAAGATGGTTTTACAACACAGTAGGTAAAAGCTAAACTTTTGACTGACCGCAACTAGGACAATTTACCTTCAGTTTAGAAAATAAAATAAAATTAACTCTCTCCCTCACCTCAATTCACAAGTTGAAAGTCCAAACAAGTCTTTCCAGCTTTTAGAAGAAAATCTTTAAGATTTCTGAGTAAAGCGAAATCTTCTTAAGATACAAACAAACAAAAAAAAAACTGAAAAAGAAAATTCACACATTAAAATTGAAAACTGATGTGAGATAAGCCACCATAAACAAAGTGAACCGAGATAAGACTGACACATAAAGATAAAGGATCTATATTCAGTATTGAATTCTCTATAAGGGCTATTTGTCTTATTTGAGGACATTTTTAGATATATTGAACCTAGAAATATGAACAGACAAGACATAAAAGAGAGGAAGCCAGATAACCGACAAAAGTATGAAAGAAACTCAATCTCATTAACCATTGGGGATGTGCATTCACATTGCTGACTTTGGTTTGAAGTTTTCTGGGAGGAAATTCAAGAACTCGTTTCACTCTTTAGACTTAGGCAGAAATACACATACATCACATGGAATAATAGATGCTGTTGTCGTATAATTGTCTCTATGAAGCATTATGAGCTACTTTTGAGGGTGTGTAGCTTTTCTATTAATTAGGAAGCTTCAATGCCCTTTTCCCCTAGAATAGAGTCTTATTTTTTTTAAGAACACCTAAGCACCATAGGATGTTTTTCATTCATTCAGAATTCAACTACCCAGTGAATATTCTCCACGAAAAAATGCATTTGAAATACATCCTCTTTCAGCTCGTTGACACTCCTCTCTCTGTCATGGGCCCCCACCATGTACCTTTACCCAGGCTTCTGCTTTCCGAAGGCCCCCAAATGCTGGACTGTCCTATCCCCCACCTCCACCTATAACCTAGCTTTTTTTTTCTTTTAGTCAGAGACTTGCTCTGTGGCCCAGATAGGCGTGCAGTGGCACAGTCATGCCTCACTGCAGCCTTGACCTCTTAGGCTCAGGTCATCTTTGATCCTTCCACCTCAACCTCCTAAGTAGCCTGGACTTCAGGCGAGTGTCCCCATACCTGGGTTTTTTTTTTTTTTCTAGAGACAAGGTCTTACTATGTTGCCCAAACTGGTCACAAACTCCAGGACTCAAGCAATCCTCCTGCCTCAACCTCCCAAAGGGCTGGGATTATAGGCATGAGCCACCACCCTCAACCTATAACCCATCTTAGTAACAAAATTCTTAACTCTCTGGGAAATGGCAAAGCTCTTAATTAACTTTTCAAATCTACTGGATCCATATTCCTAAATCTATGTGGGTTTCACAACTACCCTACCTTGTTTTTATATTTGGAAGATTCTATTATGAAAACTGCTTATTCTCTGGAAGAGCAGAAACAAGCGATAATCAGGTGCCGGTATCCATCTCTGAATCCAAAATGGCCTCCAACTGGATTAAAATGAACATATTCAGCAGGTATGGAGTTATGGTTTTCTTTCCCTGCAGGTATTTTGCAGAAAGAGATGCTACAGCAGCCCAGCAAGTCCTCTCTGACTCTCTTCACCCCAAATGCAGGTAATTGTTGAAAATAAAAGGTGGATTAGACTTTATGGATCAGATGAAATTAACTTCCTCTCCTACGTGGCTCTGCTGATGAGGTTCTCAGGAGAGTCAGTCCACAGAGTGAGGCTTAATGTTCTTTCAGTTAAGCTGTTGTGACAAATGCTGAGTAGGATGGTTGAAACTTCAGGTACTTATTCGAGGTCACAGGCTGTAAAGTGGTACCGTACAGGTCAAGTGAGATATGTATCTAAAGGGGCTGGAAATGTCACTAGGTGTCCAGGAAGATTGAGGAGGAGGGTGTGGAGGAAGGAAAGAGTCTGGGAGAAAGTCCAGAGGCAGGGACTTTGTTTTAGATGACTGGGAACTAGAAGGGAGAACAGAGGTCATGAAGTCAGGGACCAGCGAGAAAATCTGAGACTTTTTCCAATTCTTTTGCAAAGTTTTAGATTCTAAATTGTTTTGCATTTTCATTTACCTTTCTATGTTTTTTTTCCTTAACTGATTACATAAAGGGATATCACTAAGGAAGAAATAAGGTATTTTTTTCTTTGCTTTTGTGTTTTATTGCTTTTATTTTATTTTAGAATAAGTATGGGTAAGAATTTATATTCGGGCTGTGTTTTAATGAACTGAAAACCAGATTAGACTAATCTGATGGATAACATCAAAGAGCCTTTCTACAGCCATTACTGAACCTGATTGGAAAAACATTCTGAGCGCTTACCTCAAGGCTGAACACCTCATCACACGGGTCCTGACTCCATTGACCCTCAGAAAGGGGCATCGTATTTGGGAATGTTATTGCATACAGCAAATCTGCTCTTCTGTTAATATCTTTCTCATTTGATTATTCTAAATAGTAGTGAATGTGTGTATGTGTGTGTATATGTTAGTCACTCTTATGAGTTCCACTATTTTGCAATCATAGTTTTATATCACTTTTTCCTTCTCAGTTGGCATATTAGTTGTTAGCGTTCATGTTTGCTAAATAAATCCAAAATTTTATCATAACATCCCCGAAATTCAGGAATAGATTGACTTGGATTCTTCCCCGCACCTTATTATTATATTCATTCTAGCTTCATTTGGCTCAGTTCATTAAGTCATATTGTACTTCTCAAATCTACATTTATAATCTTTGATAAGATTAAAAATTCATTTCCACTTTAAGAAGAAACACTAAAATCATTTAGCTCTTTCTTGACATATTACATGGTTAAAATCAAGCTATTTTTATTTTTTAACTACATCCTCTGTTTTGCTTATTTCTGTAATGTAGAGACCCTGAACTTCCTCTAATTAAAATTGGCTGGGGAGTCAATTAAAGTTGTGAGTGTGCCGTCAGGCGGCATTTTCTGGAGAAACATCAACCAGAAGACCTGAGTCTTCCATGGTCCTTGGAAAATGACAGTGAGCTTAAAATATGTTTGATGAGCCATTGCAGGAGACTTAATATTGTTTATGAGTCATCCTCAAAGAAAAGCTTTATAGTTATGCTAGCCATCAAAAGGAGATATATGTGTGGTCATGTAGATAAAATTACCACGCTTTATCCCTCAAACTACAATGCAGTTGAATAGATAAAACTCATGTGTTAATTACTTCAAATTGATGGCGAATGTCACTGGATACAAATCAGAATGTTTTTGACAGCTAGTGTCCTTCTTTACCATTGTTTGAAAAAAAGTCTGTATTAATCGACTACTATATCAACATAAGTTCTATCAAGTCCCGAATATTTCAGATGTTCAGCAGGGAGAAGTCAATATATACTAAGGAAAGTTCTTTCCTCTCTATCCCTCAGCAAGTGTGACACATTACTGCTCTTGTAAACAGTCATCTATGGAGTCCTAAAGTAACTTGAGGGATAAAAATGGATTCGAGTTTAAGAGGAGAATTTTGACTGTTTTTGTTTTTGTGTGCTTGTTTTTGTTTTGTTTTTTGTTTTTGTCTTGCTTAAGAGAAGAATGCAATCTGTTTATGTCAGGATATCCTTAAGTAATCAAATAAGTGGAGGCCCTTTAGCCTTTTCTTATATTTCCAATGCAGATAGAGATTTAATTTGACAAATATGGAGATACTATGTATTTGTCAATCTTTGTTGAAGAGAAAATAGATGCTTATAAATTCTTATATATACCATTTTTGTTGGACATGGTGGCTCATGCCTGTAATCCCAGCACTTTGGGAGGCCGAGGCAGAAGGATTGCTTGAGCCCAGGAGTTTGAGACCAGACTGGGCCACACAGCAAGACCACATCTCTACAAAAAATCAAGACATTAGCCAGGTGTGGTGCACCTGGACCCAGCTACTTGGAAGGATGATGTGTAAGGTCACTTGAGCCCAGGAGTTGGAAGTTACAGTGAGCCACGAGTGTGCCCCTGGGCTCCAGCCTGGGCAGCAGAGTGAGATCCTAACTCAAAAAAAGAAAGAGAGAAAAATATAGCAGTTTCTTTAAATTGTAGTGAATCATTTACAGAATAGAAAGTGTACATAGTTAACTACCAATTTTGCTTAATGTTTGTGTATATTACATGTGTGTCTTGTAGTGTTTGCTGTGTAATCTAGAGAACTCTCCTTTCTCCTACTTATGAGGGAGGACCAAAAAAACCCCAGAATTATCTTTGGGAGGGCAGGTCCCTTGTAGGACACTAAGAATTTTTTCCTCCAGATCAAGCTGTCAGCCAAAGTTTTTATCTGGACATTTTGAGAAGGTTGCATTATAATTTGTGGAAGAAACATCACAAGTTGTGACAAATGCACCTGCTCCCACCACGCTGAATGTTTAGCAGTTTTTGACCAAGAACAACATGACCCCTGTTCCTAACCCACCCTATTCACCCGATCTTGTCTTGAATGACTTCTTTTTGTTTCCCCAAATGAAAAAAGCCCTCAAAGGGAAACACTTTGCAGATGTGGAAGAGGTAAAACAAAAAACAGCAGAAGCACTAAAAGGCATCAAAATTGACGAGCTCAAAAACTGTTTTGAACACTGGAAAAAGCATCCCCATAGTTGCACTGCATCAAACGGAGAGTATTTTGAAGGCGACTCAACTTTAAACATGCAAGAATAAATGCACAATTTTTATAAATACCGGGGTTTTTTGTGTCCCCCTTGTAGATGGAAAGTGTCTGTAATAACTAGTTTAAGATTTTTGTTTAGTTCAAATGCTAGCTGCAGTTTTTAGTGTAAAACACCGAACACAGGTTGCAGCAGTCACAGGAGTGGAACGTGGTTCCTGCCTGCAGGGAATGGGAATGGAACAGATGTCTCAGTGCACAGAGTGATAGCATGTAAGGCATTATTTCCAGAATGCTTCTGTGGCAGAACCCTTTCTTCAGGCAGTTGTCTTCAGAAGCTTAAGTTCTGGAACAGATTAAAGCGGAGCTGCTATGGCCTAGCTCTCTTAGCTTATCCAGAAGAAATACCATGGCACTTACTGGAGCAGAATTTTCAAAATCTATAAACCCTTTCCTTCCTTCTTTCTTTTCTTCCTTCCTTTCTTCCTTCCATGCTTCCCTTCTTTCTTCCCCCCTTTTTTCCTTCCCTCCTTCCCTCCCTGTCTCCTTCCTTCCTTTCTTTTCTTTCTTTCATTAACTCAATCGTTTATCAATGAACATTTATTTGACATCTCCAGTATGCCAGGGACCACCAAACTGAGTAGGATAAATGCTATGAGATAAAACCAAACAAAACGCAGTGAGGAATCATGAGAGAGTGAGGTAAGATTGAATTCGAAGAGAGAAGGTTGCCAGGCAAGGTTTCATGGAGGAGGTGTTTGATAATTAATAACAAAGTACAAGAATATCTTAATGCTCGGCCTTTAGGGCTTTCTCCCACAGCGGTACTAAAGTGAATGGAGTGTAAATAGCCTGGCCTTAAATAATTCCACTTCTGAGTTCCACATAAATTGCATTGGTGGCTTTTAAAATTGATAACACTTAAGCTGATTAGTGTTGAATGGCTGAGTTACAGGCGTCTTTGCATATAGTTAGCATAAGCATTAAAAAATAACAAGCACCAGTTAGAGATTAAATCTTGTTTATTTATTCATTCATTCATCCATTCAGCAAATTCAGCAAAGCAGAATGGGAGAAGAAGAGGATGGACAAGGCAATTGGGTGAGTATGGGATCTCTTAGGCGAAGATTTTAAGTCTGAACTAGAGCCAGACAAAAATGTCCTAAGTGAACTATGGAAGACAACAAGGAGGAATTCTACTTGTCCTGAGGGAAATATAGATTCCATTGAATTTTTTAAGTATTCTTTTATGTTTTGGAGTTACCTGTATGATTACATGGTCTTACTTTGCCTGTGACCATTTCACAAAGTAGAAAGTTATAATTGTATGGAATGACTTTCAGAAATCGTTTAGAATTGTATCTGGTAGTTTTCCTTTAAAGATTTCTAGCAAGTATTGAGCTATTAGATTTAAAAAATTAACTTTATATTTTGTTTTAAATAATGCTCTACTTCATCCAAAAATATTTCTTAACAGAATTTTTTTTTCCTGAGTTGGATTTATGTTAGCAGAGAGGATTTAAGAACTCAGGTTCAGTTCCTTTAATATTGAGTAAACATGTAAAAAAGAAACTAGAAGCCGGGCTCGGTGGCTCAGCCTGTCATCCCGCGCCTTTGGGAGGCTGAGGTGAGTGGACTGCCTGAGCCCGCGGGTTCGAGACCCGCCTGGGCAGCGAGACCTCATCTCTACAATAAATCAAAAAAAAAAATCAGCCGGGCATGGTAGCGCGTGCCTGTAATTCCGGCTACTCGGAAGGCTGAGGCGGAAAGATCGCCGGAGCCCAGCAGGCGAGGCTGCGGAGTGGCCACTGCACTCCAGTCCGGGTGACAGAGTGAGACTCCAACTCAAAAAAAAAAAAAAGAAACTAGAAACATATGGTGTGTTAACATATTTTTGTAATTTATTTTTAAAAATTTTTATAACAATATTAATTTTTTCTCATCTTAAAAGTAATATACAAATTATCATAGCAAAGTAAACAAACAAATCATCCCATCTTATTACCCTAGTCTACCAATGTTAATATTTTGTGTCATTTTTTTCTATGCATATCTGTGTGTATATAAGAAAACTTGGCTTGTTCTATCCATACTGTTTATATACTGCTTTATCATCTTTCAAGAATATAGATCTAATCAACTATAATATCTTATTTGAGATTCCCATAACTTATTTCACTAGTCATCTACTTTAAGGATATTTGAATCGTTTCCATTATAAATAATGCTGTAATGAATATCTATGTCTATAAAACTTTGTCTCCTTTGGGTGTTTTTCTGTCATATATTTATTTGGAAGTGGAATTACCAAGTCAAAGCATATGGACTCTCAATTCTCTAGGTACTCAAGACTGAAATTTTCTGGTAAAGTTAAGGTTTTGATAGAATGAAGAGGGAAGGGCAACCTGCCACTCTGGTCATTTAATAGTAATTTAAAAATCGAATCACTGGTTTTTGAAATGCCTAGCTCCCATATGTGACACACAGTTGGTTTTGTGGCTTACCTCCACAGATACTCCTTTGCAATCGTGGGCATCAACATAACTGACCTGGCGTATAATCTACTGGTCAGCGGAGCTCTAAAAACCCATTTCTACAACATCGCGCCAGAAGCCCCAACATTGTCTCACTTCCAGCAAACGTTCTGTAAGTGTCTATAGAACACTCCAGACAGGGGTCGAAGCCGAGAGAGCTTTGTGATTTGGCTGCTTTGGGGTCTTTGAACTTCCTCCTTTGGCTTTGATTTCTTTATTTTGCTTTCCCATTCAAAAACCTATACTTACATTTTAAGGCATGGTGGATTTTTCTCTTTACCAGCTCTTGCATACAGCCAATGTATCAACTTCTGGTCTGACTCAAAGATATCATGGATGTTTCTGTCTCTGTGATCCCTAAGCATATAGGTTCTGCAGAAAGCTTAAGGTGACTCTCAGATCTGTTTTAGAAGAAATGAATGGATCCAGAAAGGATTAGGAGGGAAAGCTAAAAACTCCCCCAGAAAGTAGAACAAAAAGCCAGGGCTGAAAATTAGAAGGGTTGAAAACTTAAAGGTTCATACCAATAAATTTTGTACCTGAATAATAGAAGTGCCAGAAAAAGAACAGTGAAAACTAAGGAGAGGTAACCAAAGAAATAAACCATGAGCATGTTTCAAAACTGAAGGAGTTTTCGTATTTAAAGTAGTAAGCACCAACATAATGGATTAAAGTAGACCCACATCCATATCATTATGAAATGTTATGACACTAGAAAGAGATCACTCTGAAAATTTCCAAAATTGTCACATAAAGAATTGAGAATCAAGATTGCCTTGAAATTCTCAACAGCAGCATTGTATTCTAGAAGACAGTGGAATAATGTGTTCAAAAGTTAGGAAAATATTTTTTTAAGCCTAAGGGAATATGATTTCCAGTTTAGAATTCTATACCCAGCCCAACTTATCAATTAAGTATGAGAATAGAATACATATATGCTTTTAAATGTAAGGTCTTAAACATTTTACATCCCTGTACCTTAATGAGGAAGATCCTGGAGAATAGGTTCCCACAAAATAAGAGAGTAATCCAGAGAACAGGAAGTCTATTCCAAGAGAGCAGCAAGGGGAATCTTCAGGCTGAGTGTGAAGGGAAAGTCCAAGGTGATATCAATGCAATAGGTTGCACATAATCTAGATTTTAGAATGTCAGAAGGCTCTGGAGGACCGTTTTTGAAGAATATAAAATTGATAGAGTATTACCCTGTTTTGGGAGGACATTGGCATACATAGGGGATAGTTTAGGATTAAATTGTAGAAAACTAGGCAAATAGGTGTGGTGGCTCACATCTGTAATCCCAGCATTTTGGGAAGCAGAAGCCAGAGGATTGCCTGAGCCCAGGGGTTCAAGACCAGCCTGGACAACTTGACGAGACCTTGTCTCTACAATAAATCAAAAAATTAATGGGGTGTGGTGGCACGTGCCTTCTATTTAGAAGGCTGAGGCAAAAGGATCGCCTGAGCCCAGCAAGTCGAGGCTGCAGTGGCCGTGAGGGTGCCACTGCACTCCATTCTGAGGGAGAGAGTGAGATTCCAACTCAAACAAACAAACAAAAAGAAAACTAGGCAAATAAACAAAGAAGGCAGTTGTTAATACTAGGTAAAAAAAAAAAAGTGTGAGAGACAAAGCATGACCATGTGGCTGGGGTAGGTGAAAGGGTGCTAGTCTGTCTTCTATAAAAAGAAATCAAGGAATGTAAAGCATGTTATTCAAACTGTGGAGCATAGCACACTCAGTCTGGAAGTTAGAGGAAATCTCCCCAAATCAAAGGCCACTTTTGATGAGGCCTGAAGGACGAGTGGCAGGAAATACAGCCATGGTGGATGAGTAGCTAGCAAAAGCAATGAAGAAAAAGAGTATGTGGGGCAAACCCCTTGGGTCCCCTCCCACTGTGGGAGCTTTTCTGTCCTCTCAATAAATCCTGCTTTTCTAAGAAAAGGAAAAAAAGAAAAAGTGTATGTGGATTCAAGAAATAAAGTGTGGTGGCTCATGCCTGTAATCCCAGTTCAGGAGTTTGAGACCAACCTAGGTAACATAGCAAGACCTCTTCTCTACAGCAAAAAGAAATAAAATAAAAAAAGAAACAGAGCGTAGGGCTTGAGGGCAGAGGGCTGGTGGTGACTAGAGATGATGTTGGAAGCCTAAGAGCAGGAACGGGAGCAGTCCTGAAGAGCTCTGTAAGCCACATCAAAGAGCAGAAACATGTAGATAAATAAAACCCCCCACTGTGTTTCCCTGACCGCTTATGCTCACACTGTCCTGTACTTGCCATGCTCTTTAGGGAAATCAGGGAGGCAGTGTTGAGGGGAGATAGAACAAGTTTCATTGTAAGCACGCTGGGGATGAGTTCCTTTTGGGAAATCCATGTGGAGCTGTAGAGGGACATCCTCATGTAAGACTGTGGAGCTCTGAAGAATTAGAAGGGCCCAAGCTACAGATCTGGGACTCATCAACACTGAGGAAATATCAGAGCCACACAGTTGGAGAGCTCACCTAGGAAAGAGACCAAGTTAGAATCATAAGGAATTGGCATCTATGGGCAGGAATATTTGTTTCATTCACAGCAGTATCCCCTAGCACAGAGCCTGGTACAGAGTATAGGTGCTCAGTAACTGTTGGATGGATGAATGGATGGACGGATGGATGGATGGACGGACGGACGGATGGATGGACAAATGGATGGATGAGTAGGTGGGTGGGTGGAAGAATGGATGGAAGATGGATGGATTGATGGATGGATGAATGGATGGATGGATGGATGGATGGATGGATAGGTGAGTGGATGGATGGACAAATGAATGGATGGGGAGGTGGGTGGATGGAAGATTGGATGTAGGATGGATAGATGTATTGATGGATGGATGAATGGATGGATGGGGAGGTGGATGGGTGGAAGGACGGGTGGGTGGATGATGGATGAATGGGTAGGTGGGTGGGTGGATGATGGATGGATGGATAGGTGAGTGGATGGAAGAATGGAAGGATGGATGAATGGACAAATGGATGGATAGGTAGGTGGGTGGATGGAAGAATGAATGGAGGATGGATAGATGGATGGATGGTTGGGGAGGTGGGTGGGTGGAAGGATGGATGGGTGGATGATGGATAGATGGATGGGTGGGTGGATAGATGGAAGAATGGATGGATGGATGGATGGATGGATGGATGGATGGATGGATGGATGGATGGGTGGGTGGATGGATGGAAGAATGGATGGATGGATGGATGGATGGATGGGTGGATGGATGGATGGATGGATGGATGGATGGGTGGATGAATGGATGGATGGCTGAATGGATGAATGGATGAGCGGATGGACAGACAGACAGATGACTGAATGGATGAATGGATAGGTGGTTGGATGGATGGGTGGATGATGGATGGATGGATGGGTAGACAGGTGGATGGAAGGATGGATGGGTGGATGATGGATGGATAGGTGGGTGAATGGAAAGAAGGAAGGAAAGAAGGGAGGAAGAAAGAAAGAAAGAAAGAAAGAAAGAAAGAAAGAAAGAAAGAAAGAAAGAAAGAAAGAAAGAAAGAAAGAAAGAAAGAAAAGATGGATGGGTAGGTGGGTGGATGGAAGAAAGAATAGGTGGATGGATGGATGAATGGATGGGAGGCTAAAATATTGAATGATGTTCTTTTCAGGAGGTAAGGGAATCTAGTCTGAAAAATTTAGCCTTGGCCTGGATTGATACACTTCCAAATGAATCCTAGCCCAGATGAGCAAGCATGCAAAGAATTGCTCATTTCCCAGTGCCCTCATCAGGTTTTGGAAACAACAGCAATTCCCCTATGGACTGGGGTGTAGGAAGAGGGACTTGGGTCTCTCTAGGGGAAGCAAGCTGTGTCCTAGATTTCTTGTTTTTCTCCATCGGACATGATCAGTTCTGCACATTTCCTCTGTAATATTCTTGCAATTACCTGTGTCCTTGTATCTGTCTCTGCTCTCTACTAACTGAATGCAGTGAAGCAAAACCAAGATGCATTCAAGCAGCAACAAATATGCTACAGGCTTGAGGTGGAAAGCCAAATCAATATTCAAAACAAGTATTTCATCTAGGTGGAAGAATATAAGAATATAATAGCTCTATCCTTTGGACTTTATGGTATTATTCAGTGAACACTGTACTGCCAAGGGAGCATGTTACAGAAATTACATTCAGTCTGATGCTCCACTGGACACACAGTCCCACTGAAATGAAGTTAGAATAGGAAAAGGAAGAAACTATGCAGTAGAAATAAGAACCAGAGGAACAGAATACACTGGAAAAAGGCAACTTGTTGCAGTGGTGGAAAAGACAGCTGGTTTCCATCTTCCAGCTGTACCTGTAATTGTTCAACATTCAAGTATCTCATCTAGGGGGATACAGTGGCTCCCAGCATTTGGGGAGGCCAAGGCAGAAGGATTACTTCAGCCCAGGCGTTCCAAACCAGCCTGGGCAACACAGTGAGATATTATCTCTACAAAAAGTAAAAACAAATAAAAAGTATCTCATCTAAGCCCAATGTCCTCATTTATAAGGTGGAGGTATAATGTCTGTGTTGCCTACTCCACAAAGCTGGTGTAAGAATTCAGTGAGAGTGCATGAATTAGCCTGGCCTCTGATTTCTCCCTGTCCTTTGCATGCCAGTTTGTGAGTTTCCTTCGCTGGCAAATCATCAGCTGAAACTGTCTTCCTGTCTGCCTCGCTCCAAGAAATGGAGAATCAGGAAACGCGGGAAGGCTTCCTTTGTCTTCATCCTCAGTACATAATTCTGTGTGTTCCATGTCTTTTAACCAGCAGATGGGTCAGCTGACCAATTGACCAAACGAACTTTTGAACTCTATAATTCATACACATGAGTGAAGTTTAATGGTGGTTATACGTACCTTGGAAGCCAGGCCACCATTTCTGCATTTTCATTAAGATCACATGATACAGTCTCTATCTTCCTGATGGGATAGAGAAAGAGAGTTCAGTCTGCAAGCTTCAGAGGAAGGATCCTGAGAATGGTGTCAGATTGTCGAGTGACCCCCTGTACCTTTCAACCTTTACGCTTTTAAACTTCAAGGTCTTTTCCTGTAATTGTGTGTAAGGTAGAAAACCGGGGAAACCAAATGGCTCTGCATTCTTCTATAACTCAGTGCTGTATTATGTCACCTCTAGACCAAATGGCCAATATTCCCGGACATTGTAGAAAAGTGAGCATTTTTATGAGCAGCACAGAAAAATTCATTCTTTTCATTAAAAGATGGTTCTTCCCAGTGCCTGGTTATCACTGTTGATAGGAGTAAAGGGCTCTGTCATTCATGAAGTGCTGATGTGATACACCGGGGATGATTTTAATTCACAGTATTGGAAACCTGCCTCTACGTACAAAATAGCTCAGCTGTGTTTGAACTCAGAGAACAATCAGGAAAATTGTGTGTATTTTATATAATAATGAAAGGAGAAATAATAAATTATCAAATTTCTCTTAGAATCACAAAAATTATAATATTTAGAAGGAAGCCAAAGGAACTTCCTTTAAAAAAAAAAAAGGCATTTTCTAAATCAAAGGTCCTCAACTTCAGTGACACGAGACTCAGCTTGCTGAACTGCAAGTCTTGTTAAATCTGGGTGGATCTGCATTTTAAACAAGTATCCCAGACCATTCTTGGGATATTTTAGGAGTTTGCCCAGACCCTGAATTCTTTTGGTTAAATAAGATACAAGATCCAGAGACCAGAGGAAACAAGTTTCTTGTTGGTGTGCACTGAAACAACCAGATAACACAGAGTTTAAATCAGGGCACGTGAGAAGTGGTTAGGAGACACAGGGCAAGAGGTCTTCTCAGGGCAGAAGGTGCACTGCAAATGCTTGAGTTGGAGAACGATTGAATGTGGTCTGTGAAATCCAGGGCAACAGATTTTGGCCCAGTTTCCTTATCCGGGGAACGGTCAGTGTTGTCATCAGAGAAGTTCAAGCCTACATGCCACCTCAGGGAATCTAAGCATCAGATGAGCAGAGATAGGGATGACTCCTGGGCGGCTGACACTTCTGACTTGAGACTTTTCTGATGTGGCCAGGCTCCCCTGACCGTGGTCACAGCTCTGGCTTGGGTGACAGTGAGTATGTGCCCCTGTCGGAAATATGAAAGGCAGTCATGTCAGTTATTTTATGTGGAGTTCTAGACCTACAAGAAATGGAACAAGCCAGGCATGGCAACACACACCTGTAGTCACCAGGCTGAAGCGGGAGGATCACGCCAGGAGTCCAAGGCCAGCCTGGGCAACATCTGTAAAGTATAAATAAAGTAAGTTAAAGCCAGGCTCAGTGGTTCAGCCTGTAATCCCGCGCCTTTGGGAAGCTGAGGTGAGTGGATTGTCTGAGCCTGTGGGTTTGAGACCCACCTGGGCAACTTGGCGAGACCTCATCTCTATAATAAATCAAAAATTAGCTGGGCATGGTAGCGCGCGCCTGTAGTTCCAGCTCGTTGGAAGGCTGAGGCGGAAGGATCGCTGGAGCCCAGCAGGTCGAGGCTGCAGTGGCCGGGAGCGGTCACTGCACTCCAGTCTGGGTGACAGAGTGAGACTCCAACTCAAAAAAAAAAAAAGTAATTTAAAAATAAAATTTTTAAAAGAAATGAAACCGTTAACCCCAAAGAATTGTAAAATAAGTACATTCTCTCTCCCCTTCGTCCTATATTTGTAGCAAGACCACATGTTTAAAGATGTATGCATATATTTAATGATTTAATGAGATGATTAATTGAGGAACTGTAGAAGTAGATCAATAATTGGCAATGTGTTCTGGGGGACAATGAAGGTCACTTCTAATTTTGCATTATAGTGAGATTTGAGTAAATATTTTTAAAAATTTGTTTATGGAACTATGTTGAAGATTTTTTTATATGTAGATAGTTACCAGAAAAACAGCATCTATTGGGCCTGGCACAGTCGTTCATACCTGTAATCCCAGCCCTTTGGGAGGTGGAGGCAAAAGGATTGCCTGAGGCCAGGAGTTCAAGACCAGCCTGGGTGACTTGGCAAGACTATGTCTGTACAATAAATTAAAAAATTAGCCAGGTGTGGTGGTGCACACCTGTAGTCCCACCTACTCAGGAGACTAAGGTGGATGGATCGCCTGAGCCCAGCAGGTAGAAGCTGCAGTGACTGTGATTGTGCCACTGCACTCCAGCCTGGGCGACAGAGTGAGACTCCAACTCAAAAATTAAAAAAGCTATTGGGTTTTGTTTTTATTGTTAGACTTGAGTGTGCTCCAAATCTCTTCCCATGTGCCGCCCCATCATCTCCACCCCTCGCTCCATTTACACATGGAGGTAGAGGAGCAAGGATTCAAAACAGGCTTGTTTTGTTTTTTTTTGAATCAGGGTCTCACTCTACCATCCAGGCTGGAGTGCAGAGGCTCGATCGCAGCTCACCGCAGCTTCACCCTCCTGGGCTCAGGCGATTCTCCTGCCTCGGCCTCCTGAGTAGCTGGGACTATAGGCATGAGTCACCACAACCACCTCATTTTAAAATTTTTCTTTATTTTTGTTTTGTACAGATGCGGTCTTGCTATGCTGCCCAGGCTGTTCTCAAATGCCTGGGCTCAAGCAATCCTCGCACCTTGGTCTCCCAAAATACTGGGATTATAGGCGTGAGTCACCGTGTCCAGCCCCTGGCTGCTATTTTTTGCTGCTTTCTAACATTAAGAGAAATAAAAGCTTGTGTGAAGTTTTTTGTTTTTTTTTTTTCTAAACTAGGATTATGTATGTAAATATTTTTCTTTCTAATATACACAGACACCTACGCTTGCAATAGATTTACTACATACAAATGTCTAATATATTTTTAGAAAACACTATTCACATTTCCATTCTAAATGTGGTAGATAAAAATCGACAACAACAACAACAAAAGCAAATGTGGTGGAGAGAAGATGAGGGAGCAGGACCCAAGGAACAAGTTCGTGTATCAAATACTTAACATTTATCCCCCAATTTCTTCCCATCTAGATCACTCATAGATACCACTTTTGAAATACAAAAGTATTTGAGTATGATATCATGCTTCAGAGCAGGGAAGTCTTACTAACAATTCCATGTACTTTAGTGACCAGTCTGTGCTCAGAGTTAATTTACTGTTTTTATTATCTCATAATAGATTGTCAGAATGCATTTGTTTGATTTGTCGGAGTAACTTAAAACTCGACTCAGACCAAATGTCAAGAGAATAAGGCTGAGTAGAGGAATTTTGAAAACTCAGACCATTATGTGAATTTAGTTAGGAGGGGAGGGGCAAAGTAGTCACTGTCAGCCTCTCAGAATATGTTCCCGATGTGATTCGTATTCAAGAGATGGCAGAACTGACTTGTCTGGGGAAGAGTAAGAATAATTCCAGGACCAATCGCAGCAAGCTTGCAGATGGGGAACGACCACCGTACTGGGTGTTTAAAGGCTAATCTTCAACAACGGCATTTGCTAGATGCTGATGACTGCTTTGAGCTCCATGGTGGCTGTGTTTGGTCCAACATTCCCTTCTGCATCGGGATGATTTCGAAGGTGATGCAGGACTCTTTCTCCTGCATTCTTATCACTGTATTATCTCTAACAGGCTATTTGATGCATGAATTTCATAAGTTTTGGATCGAAGAGGACCCCATGGACATAATGGAATTTAATCGTGTGCGTGAGAAATTCCGCAAGAGGATTATAAAACAGCTGCAGAACCCAGACATGGCGCTGTGCCCGCACTTCGCTGCCTCGGAAGGTTTAATCAACATGTAGTCGCCCACGCCGGTTTGAACGGATACCCTGGAACACTGCCTCATTGTCTCGTTAGATCTCCGCCTAGGTCGCAGCTCGCACACTGAATGCACACAGTGATTGTATGCATGCCTTTTGGTACAGTATTTTCATCTCCTGGTCATGATTCTGAGATCCCCAGATACCACCACTATCCTGGAGTATCTGTCATCCAGTGACTGCTCATATCGTGGCATTATGCAGTGTTACATCTTGCCTTGACACCCAGGTATGGAGAGAGTTTTCTATTTTTTTAGGTTTTTTTTTTCCCTCCCTCTCATCATTCAGCATTCAAGAACTGTATTTCCCTAGCTGTATTTTGTAAGTAAGAGGTTTAGCTGAATCTCGTTCTGTGAAAGCCTTTTCATTTTTCGATATGTTTCATGACTACTGCTGCTAGCTTTTCAAGCCAGGTTCATGCTTGGACCTCCTTCTGATCAAGTATAAGACTTTAAAAATAATACAGACAGACACATGATAAGCCAAACTTCCTGCAAACATAGCTGCACTTCATGACAATGTAATGAGGCTTTCGAGAAGTAACTTTAGGTAGGAGCTGTTTTAGTTTAAAGTACCGCAGAATTATATATAGTGCAACTCTCCCTGCCCCTTGTTGCTATTGTGTCATTGTCGCCTGGATATCAAATTATTTTATTCCCATAATTTCACTGGCTTAGATTCCTAACGATGTTTATGATATGCGGGGCCTCGAAAAAGAAGTAAGCATATTCCCAAAGCTGCAAAACGTTTTTCACTGCCTGCTTCTTGCTGAATTCAGAGTTAAACCCTGGCGCTGTTCTGATCCAAGCATCTTTGCTTGGGGAACTGAGTGCTGACTGACTTGTTTTCTGTGACGAGGGGCAATATTAAAAAAACTATTTATAAGAAAATGCGTGGCAAGAAAGCAGCCTGACCTTTGTCACGCGGCAGTATTTCTTGCAAACAACGACCTTGTCTTGTATCCGTGGAAGACGTATATTGCTCGGAGGGGGAACGTCACTTCATTCCAAAACGGCGAACAATCATTTTTAAAACCATGGTTTAGTTTGGAATTATGATTGTAGTCTGTTGAATAGCATTTTGCCATGGCATTTCATACCCATGGTATTTTATACCTTCTGACTCTCAATTTTAGTATTATTAGATGTTTGTGTAATCACTTGCTTATTTAAATGAATTTCGAGTACTGCCTAATTGTCAGTTATATGAATAAACTACATGTCATTCTACTGTAACATATAGTGGGTTTTATTTTGATATTTTTGTGCTCGTACGGCTTCTGAATATGCTAATATATGAGTGGGAAGAGTGGCAAAGACAGACAACCTGAAGCTGACTGTAAACCACGCCATCACTCAGGTCACTGGGTGTAAGTTAGAATGTGTTACGTCTGAGAGACTTCTTTAAGCTGAATGCCTGATGGCGCTATAGTGAAAGAATCAGATTCAACTGTTTCTTCATAACTTCCTGTGAAACCTGGTTTGGCTACTGCTAGACCACCAATAGGGCAGAAGCATTACCTGCCATTGTCTCCTCGTCCACCCAGCCCCTCTGGGATTTCGTTATCCTGTCCCTTCCAGCCATGTTCTAGATGGCAGCATGTTGCATCGCCTCCATGACAGCCCTGTGCCTTTTCTTAGGAGGAGAATGATGTATACCATGAGTAATGACAAGAAAGCACCCTCCCCTCCCGAGTGAGTGAGAACCTGCGAGCCCAGTAAATGGCCTGCCTCGAGAGCCGTGAATTCCCCCCAAGGCCGCAGCTGCTCCAGGTGAAGGCGTCATTCCACACGCCGTACAGCCTTTGTCAGCCACATGTGTTCATTGTCTCTTTCCATCTATGTGGTCCCGTGTCACTGACATGGTTTGATAGCATGTGGCACCTCTACCAGGTCACGTCTCTTCTGTTCAGGCAGAGAGAATTGATAGTAACAGAGCTAAGAGTTTCCCTCCTGGCTCCTTGGATGCGTTCTTTCTGTTGCACCTGAACATGGCTGCACTATTTCAGGATAACCAAGGCTCTGACAGCTTCTTCTAGTTCTGAGTGTGATGAGATGTTTCATTCAAAGCACTGTGTGGAAGATGCATTCTACCCAGTAACACAAAGTGAGGTGAGAAAGAGAAGAAGGTTTCAAAAGCATCAAAAACGTGTGTGTGTGTGTGTGTGTGTGTGTGTGTGTGTGTGTGTGTGTGTCCCTTGAGTATTTTAGCTTGCCAACTTATTCCGTTGAACAAGGATTGACCACAAAAAATGTCAATTGGGCCGCAAGTTTCTTCCAAGTTTTCCAACACTACCAGCTATGATACAAAACACATTCCAGTTTGTACTACAGAAGGAAAACCCTTTGAAGCATTGTTTCTGAAACTTGAGACTTCAGTCTGACTTTCCTTCTCACAGTTGGTTTGTTTGTTTTGAGTTGGGGTCTCACTCTGTCACCCAAGCTGGGGTGCAGGGGCATGATCATAGCTTATCACAGTCTCAACCTACTGGACTCAGGCAATCTCTCCACCTCAGTCTCCCGAGTAGCTGGGACTACATGTGCATGTTATTACACCTGGCTAATTTTTTTTATTTTTGTAGAGATGAGGTCTTGCTATGTTGCCTGGGCTCCAGTAATCATCCCACCTTGGCATGAACCATCATGCCCAACCCCTTTTCACAGATCTTATTTGTACTGTACTGGAAAAAAAATGTTGCCTGGTAACCCACCATCTTTTCTGTATTTGAAAAGAGGCTTAAATATATACTAATCCCCAAAGACAGGGTGACCTTACAGTGTATCTTCCAAACTAGAACACTTCTGAGAGAGAAAGAGGATATTGTTAATAATTTATTTAGGACAACATGATAAACTGGGACAGTTTGAGAAAACTGAGATGTTAGGTGACCAAGACAGACTAAGGGACAGATGTGTGTAGGTATTGTCCACCCACAACTTAATTAGGGATATCCTACCCAGTTTCTTCACTTTCTAACCTCTGGCAGGAGAAGTACATCATAGGGACATAGACATTTTGAAATCCAAGATACTACCCCAAATCTTAGAGACCCGTCACAGGTATGGGCTTGGTTGAGCTGAGAAGTTCATCTGCATAGACTGGGTCTAAGTTGGCGATGGGAAAACGAAACCTATCAGTCGAGCTCCATGGCCACAAAGTACCTTGACCCATAAACATAGGGGACCAGATTCAAGTAAAATCGGAGTGGAGAAAGGATCAGGGTTGATGGTGTGCAGGGGTAGAGGATGGAGATGATGGAGAGAGGAGAAAGCGACAGAAAGGCCAAGTGTCAGCTAAGCTGATAGCTGCTGAATCACTGTGACACGGGCTCTATCAAACTATGCCTAACTCTTCAAGGAACTCAACAGAGGTAACTGCTCTAACTTAGAGGCAAAATGGTGGAAAAGCAGAGCCGAGTATAACAAGTCCTATAAGATGAAAACGGTACTGCTGTGGATTCCATTTCAAGAGCTAACATTTAGTGAGTTCTTCTGCCGTGCGCCAGGACTGTGCTGGTCCTTACCTTGCATTATTTCACTTCCTTAACAACGTGCAAAATCAAATGGACTTTACTTGCTTGTTTTTCTGGACAAACAGACTTAGCGAATTTGATCTGTGGCCAAGGATCTCAAAAGAGAGATGTCAATGGCATAGCTAGACCTTGAACCCAAGACCTTAAGCCCGGATTTATGTTGTCTCTTGGGAGTTCTTCTCTACTGTTTCAGAGGACTGGTGAATTATAAACACACACACACACACACACACACACACACACACACACACACACACACCACATACCTCCAAGTGATAATACATACATTAATAAATGTTTCTTGTTCAGACATTTGCAGGGTGGATTTAGATGCTGCCATACTGTCCCTCAGGTCTTCCCACATTTTTAATCAGACCACTTCCCCCAATACACAGAGAATAATCCTGACAGGATCCTAGGCTCTTTCTCCTGATCCCTATCTCCTCCAGGAGAGGAAGGCCGCATACCTCCTTCCTGCCCCCACACAGGAAAACCTCAGCAAGGTGAGTTTGCAGAGCCTGAGCTGCAGGAAGCTTAGGCCAGAAGCTACAGGGCATTTCTGTGGAAAGAGAAATACGCGGGGCTTTGGGCATATGCACTCTTCATAAATAAAGCATTCCTTTCACAGTTGAGCTTCTTGTGCCTCATTGACCTGACATCCCTCCAGAATGCTGCTACTCATAGACACACGAGCAGGAATTATGTCACCCGTTAATGCCCCTGGGATGCTTCCAGGAAATCCCAGAGAGATGGTTAGGAGAGGGTCAGGATAAGGTTACAAAGATCAAAATGCTGACTATATTTTTTTTTATCATAACACTGTGCTATGCTTTGGAAAAGACCACAGAAGAAAAGTTTATGGCAACTAGCAACGTTCAGCAAAAAGAAGAGAAAACTGAGATTAAGCTTGAAAAACAATTAAACCCTCTCGGTTATGCAACTTAAGTGGTCCCTTTGTGGTCACCACCTACCATACAAAGGCTCAGATGAATATCACAGCATCACAAAGTAGGGGATTTGAAACTGACTTTATCAGGAACATATCTAAAGCAAGGATCAGCAAGAAAAGAAAGTAAAAGTACTTCCCATCAACCAAGGCACGCCAAGGCCTGGGTCCTGGCTAGACACGCTACACTGTAGGTCTGAGTTTAGGTGGAGGGAACCCCACCATCCTGCATCGTGCTGTTCTTTCTTTTAGGGCAAGCAAAGAGCAACCTTGGCAGAGGGAAGATGACCAGATAGAACACTCTGTAGCCAAGCAGTCTGGACTGGCTGCCAGCTGGTTGGGGGCTGCATGGGAGCACCGGCTGCCCTGCACCTGGGGATGTGGATCTGTGAGATGTTGCCCCGGGGAGGAAATCTCTGGTTCTCTGGGCAGCTGAGCTCGGATGCCACTCCTCTGCCAGGAGCGAGGGGAGCTTTCGGTTGCAGCTGGTTTTTCCAAGCAGCCCAGAGAGAGCTCATGAGTTATTTTTTGAGAAATCTTCGCCTATCACACCCATATACTTACATTTTTGACATATTGGCTCTTCTGTGCCAAGTGTATAGCAATTATAGAGAAATAAGGACATCAATAGCCTCAAGCCGTATTACACAGAGTTACATAATCCACTTTTGATGAAGTTTTGACTCTTCCTGTCGAGTCCAGCAGGAAAAAAGTAACAGAAAACTCGTGTTTCAGTGTACGACTGCTAGCCTTCCTTGGGTCAATGACTTAATTTCTCTGACTTTGCTTTTGCCATTCATAACATAAAAATTACATTGACAGCTCTTTTTCAGAGGATTATTGCATGAGTAAAAATCAAAAAAGCCTATTATTAATTAAAGTGCTTGGGAAACTCCAAAGTGCTAGTTAAACACATGTTTAATTATGGTTTGGTTTTTATCCATTTGATTTTTAGCTATGAGCCTACCCTAACAGAGAATTAAGCTACAAAATTTGTCCTTGTAGCCAGTGTTCCCCATTAATTCAATCAGCAAATATGTATTGAGAAGCTCTTTTAGTGCCAGGCATCATGCCAAGTCTGGAAATCAAATGAGAAACAAGATAGTGGCCTTGGTCTCAAGGACCTTGTAGTCTAAATCTAGCATCTTGCTTCTCCACATCTGGTCTTTGGACCACCAAGATGGTCACTGTTAGAAATGAGTAATCCCAGCCTCCTCCTCAGACTAACTGAATGAGAATCTTCTCTTTAATCCTCTCCCTAGGTGAACGGTGTGCACAGCAGGTTGAGTAGCACCGCTCTAGAGGGTATTGATCTGGTTGTTCTCTAATGAAACCCAACAAGGTTTAGCCTCAATTGGTGGTGGTTTAGAAACAAATCAAACATTCCCCTTGTTTGCCCACTGTTTACTCTATCAGTAAACTTGACTCTGCTCCCACCTCCAACAAAGAAGGACTGAATGTTCTGTTGTCGTCACCCAGAGGTGCAGACAGGAGTTGACATGGAAAAGGAGGGGCACCGTCACCCTGGACACAGGCTTCAGAGGGTGGTCATATCCCACCTCGAGAGCTTCTTAGGAAACTTCCTGCAGTAGCCAAAGTCGGTGCAGCCCCCGGTGCTGACTCCCACGACGGCCTTTCTCAAAGAGTTTTCTTCTCTCAAGTGTCTGTAAAGATGGCCAGCCTCCTAGATACTGGAGAAAACACAGACACTTCCTTGGGTAGCGTGTTAACTTGCCCTTCCCTGAACAGACCCACCTAG